GCTGGTTTAATTGGGTTAATTTGTTGGTTCCACTTGTTTCTTTGGGTTAGTCGTAAATTGGGATAGTCGCATGTAGCTTCTTAGTGACCGGCGTGATCGTATAGTTGATTAAAAGAAGAACCAGTTCTCGTATAACATCACGAGAAATGACTCCAACAAATCAATAAATATCAAAGAGTTTAAGGTAGAAATCAGTATCAGTTCAAACACGGATTAATTTCAGTACCCAGGACACGGAGTCCTCACTTTTAAACGTCTCTGCATGACATCACAAAACTACACTTGATAAAGACTCTGGTCGAAACGCTCTGTTGTATTTGTGTGCGTTGTTTCCATTCCCTATATTGAGCTGTCTAATCACATTTGATGTTATATTTAGCACTTATAGTTTTGATGTGTGGACATAACCGACCGATTGCTTGTAAAGACTATGTTTATGGTTCAATATACAGGCTAAGCCAAGGTTAGTATGTTCCCACAATTATGGCTCTTGTGTTCACACAGCCTCACAACAATAAATAGGAGCTAGGCAATGTTTAGTATTGGTTTGGGAAAGAGAGGCAATGAGGGAATATAGGGACCACATTATGTGACCTGTAATATGTGATACCCAAGCCCTTTCAGATATCAGCGTATTTTGCGTCGATGAAGGAGAATACGAGTTCACAGGTCACTTTTCTGGAGGTTACCCTAGCTTAACAACCAGTCGACCAATGAAATAATCCTTAAGTAAACAACCTCTCAGAAATGTAATCAAGCAATCAGCCAAGCAAACAGTCAACCAATTAAACCAATCAATAAAGTAAATCAAACAAACAAAGCAACAAATTACCTAAGTTAATCCAATAATTAAAAATTAAAAAAAAGAATTGCCCACACAAACCCACAAATTAAATGACTAATTCAACCAACTGAGCCAGTCAAATCATTTGCAAAATAAACTAGTACATCTGTCAACCATCCCAGTCAATCAACCAAACCAAAAAAAAAAAAAAAAACTACAACAACACATGAATCAACTCAATCAAGTGATTCAAAACAAGAAAATATTTAATAAATCAATTAACCACCTAAACAGCATTTTAACCAACCAACCAGCCAACTGACCAGCCAAGCAGGAAAAACACTTACCAACCAACCAGCCAACTGACAGCCAAGCAGGAAAAACACTTACCAACCAACCAGCCAACTGACCAGCCAAGCAGGAAAAACACTTACCAACCAAACAATTAACCAATCGACCAAACAACCAGCCAATTGAACAACCAAAAAAAAAAACCAACCAGCCAATCAGATAACAGCAGGCTAAACTAACCAGACAAGAAATCAAGCAAACCATCCAATATTACAAGTGCATTTCTCTAACATGTTTGGAAGCTGAACATCGCTAATGGCTAACCCTAGAAAGTGTTAATTAACAGGTAACACACTACAAATTCTGATTTTAGAAAATGTCTACAAATTTGAACAGACCAGGGGTTGGCTGCAAGAATGTTCACACCACAGCTCTATCGAATCTAATTTCTGACACCTTTCCCTTAATTGCTTCATGTAATTTAAAATGTGTTGAAGAAAAGGTTGTGGGGGAAAAAAAGAGATTAATGGTGTAGCACATAGAAGAGGCATCAATGATGTGACAAGTTGCCAAAACTAGAAGTGGTCGGTACACTTTCAACACCAAGTGTTAATTTACGGTGAGCAGGGATCGTTATAAGACACGTAATTAACGAGTTCTACACTCTTGCAGCACGGGCTCCTCGCCAGAATGGGGACGTTCGGCGTGTTTTGTGCACTACTGCTGGTAATTATATTTCTATGTACATACATAGTATCCACATACCTAACTAGCTACCTCCATCCCAATCTACCTGCCTACCTACCTATATGCCTATCGCCTATTTACTCTTTAACTACGTAAATACTCCTCAACGTACTCTATTTGTGTCTTTCGGTCTGCCTGTTTGCCTTTTGGCCTGTCAGTTTTTCAGTCGGTAAGTCTGTCAGTCAGACAATCGGTCTGTCTGTCTGCCCGCAAGCCGGCAAATCTGGGTATTCCATCCTTCCATCTACCCACCCCTCCAACTTGTATCTATCCACTCATCCATCCTTCTATCTACCCACCCTCCAACTTTTATCTATCCACTCATCCATCCTTCTATCTATCCACCCCTCCAACTTTTATCTATCCACTCATCTATCCTTCTATCTACCCACCCCTCCTACTTTTATCTATCCACTCATCCATCCTTCTATCTATCCACCCCTCCAACTTTTATCTATCCATTAATCCATCCTTCTATCTACCCACCCCTCCAAATTTTATCTATCCACTCATCCATCCTTCTATGTACCCCCCCCCCCAACTTTTTTCTATCCACTCATCCATCCTTCTATCTATCCATCCAACAATCTTTTTTAGCTATCCACCACCCATCCTTAAATCTATCTAGCCATCCTTCCTTCTATCTACACCCCGTCCATACCTCTGTCTTCTTACCCATCTGTCCTTTCTTCCATCCATCCATACTTATATCCATCCATCCATCCATTTATTCATTCCATCCATCCATCTACCCATCCTTCTCTCTATCCCTGAACCCCTCTATCTGTCCCTCCTGCCGTCCATATGTCTATCTATATATCGATCTATCTATCTTTCCCCTTATCTATCCATTGATCTACCCACATGTCTGACCGCTTGTCAGTCCATCTATTTCTAGTTACATGCATAGCTTGTCTATCAGCCTAGCACTTATTAAATACGTGTGCCGATGTGACTACTTCTATCCTTTTATCATAAGTCTACGCTTGCCTATAGGCCCTAAGTTCTTGGGTTAGACTACGCCTTGAGGCGTGCAGCCAGAAATAAAACTTTAGGGCCCGCCACCCTGCTTCCCCTATTAATTGTCGACGGAAAGGAAGGGGGCGGGGTGAAGAGAGGAGCTCAAGCCTTGTGTAACTGCGTAATATTAATAACAACAATAACAACTATCATTTCTGCGCATATATTACAAAACCTTTGAGGTAGCCACACCTTGAAAATTGAGGGGCATGGGCTTTCAAGGGGCTTAAGCTTCGTTTAATCAAGTAATATATATATATATATATATATATATATATATATATATATATATATATATATATATATATATATATGGGGCGTCGCAGGCCGACAAATGAGCAGCACGATGAATGTCCTGGTTATGTAAAGACAGCCGGCATAATACTGACCACATTACCCACATAGTGCCGATTGGTCTGTAAAAATATGGGTGCTCTTCCCATATACCCCTTGCACCTAAAGGCGCGAAAGGGGATCTTCACTTTATATATATATATATATATATATATATATATATATATATATATATATATATATATATATATATATATATATATATATATATATATATATATATATATATATATATATATATATATATATATATTCATGAAAGGCAAAAAAGGACCATTTTTTTGAAATAATACAAAATGTATCAGCAAAAGCTTTAAAAGAGAGGGTCAGCGCGGCCCCCTTCCCCTCGCCACAAAATTATTGTTGGGAGTGGGCCAGAAGAGCTCAAGATGACAGCAGACCCCGGGGCTCAGGCGCCTGTGTTCCAAGGATATTATTATATTTTTTTTATTATGCAGCACATTATTATTATTATTATTATTATGGTTTTTATCAACATCATCATCATTATTATGCTTTAATGTATATAAATATAATATTTGAAATAATAGGCAAAGCATCAACAAGTATTTTAAAGAGGACTTAAATAACAGTTAACGGCAGCCTTTTAGTCCCCGTACAAAACTACTCGACTATTGTCTATTTGCCTCCTGCGTTTTTGTGACTCAGTAGCTTAGTCTAGAACAATGATCTCCAACCCTTGTCAGGTGGCCACCCCATTGAGTAGTATATGGCATGCCCCCCCCCCCTCCAACCCCAACATAAAAAAAAAACTTGTAAAGAAGATTATAAGAAGAATGCCAAGCACTGTTATAAAGAATTTGGAGAAAAACTCGCACCTAATTCAAAATATCAATAACAAGGGAAACAATCACTAACAGCTGATAATTTAGTGTCCAAATATCAGTGTGGTTGTTGACGCTGTTTTGTCGTGATGATATCTGCTAGTTTTGGTCTGATGCTGGACAAGATGCGGACGTTATCACTCTCCACATCAGGCTGGCTGCGCTGTTTTTGTTTTCATGTCAGTGGCAGCTAGAAATATGTATTGCAAGTACGAATGTACCCAACTTTAAAACTGCTTGACGCCCCACTCCGAATTCTTCAATATGAACACTAGTAGACACATTTTCCTTCTCCTGAAACTTCATAACGACCCCTAAAGAGCCCAGCCAGGTTGGAAGACCACTGGTCTAAAAGAATCCTATGTCTGTATTTGTTAACCCTCTAATTGCCTCTTGTGTTCTTGTCTCTCAGTCCCCTAGTCTACCAGAATCCCATGTCTGCCTTTGTTAACCCTCTAATTACCTCCTGTGTTCTTGTCTCTCAGTCCCCTAGTCTACCAGAATCCTATGTCTGTCTTTGTTAACCCTCTAATTTCCTCCTGTGTTCCTGTCTATCAGTCCCCTAGTCTACCAGAATCCTATGTCTGTCTTTGTTAACCCTCTAATTTCCTCCTGTGTTCCTGTCTATCAGTCCCCTAGTCTACCAGAATTCCATGTCTGCCTTTGTTAACCCTCTAATTGCCTCCAATGTTCTTGTATATCAGTCCTCTAGTCTACCAGAATCCCATGTCTGTATTTGTTAACCCTCTAATTGCCTCCAATGTTCTTGTATTTCAGTCCCCTAGTCTACCAGAATCCCATGTCTGTATTTGTTAACCCTATGATTGTCTCTTTTGTTCTTGTACCACAGCTGATGCTTGTTGCTAGGGACGCTACAGGCTCGCGCTACCACGACGACGACGACGACGATGATTACTATCTAAAGGGTCGCTATGGTAAATTGAGTTTTCCATTTATTCCTTGTATTTGTTGCCTTTTCCCTCTTTCTATCACCACTACCACCATCACAACGAATACAGTCAACAACACCAACAGCATGTACTAGCACAACCAGAACAACCACAGCCAGAACCACCACCACCGCTAATACTACAACGGCTAATTTTACTACAACTAAAACCACCACCATCACCAATACAATTATTGTAACTAATATAGAAACATCGCTATTACTGTAACTAATACAGTATTGCTATAATTAATTATATTATTGTTTCGTTATTACTGTTGATCTACACTTCAACGTGGTCATCTCAGAAACAGGATCACTTTCAGAGGCCAAAGTCGAAAGTCTGGACGTTTCATTCGATGCATAGGCTGCATACAGTAAGCTAAACCTAGAAAACAAATGGGCAGGCATACTAATGCCCTGGAAAAAGATCATTATCCAAACACAGAGAACCAACGTGGACTTTCCTCAAAGAGTTAAAAGTGACTGCAGAAGAAAAAAAATATTACTTTTTTTTTGTCAACCGCTATCATTATTTTTGTATTTACCCATCCACAGAGTGTAAGGTTGTCCGTTTACTAAGCAGGATCAAACACGATGACTGGAAAACTGTCTCCTTCCGTGTCGACAAAATGCGAGTCCTTGACGAGTTCCACGATGGGACTTCTTGTCGCAAGCGCAACTTCGGGTTCAGTGGCCGGAAAGTGTTCGCCAAAGATGGTTGTCGAGCTGACTTCGAAGTGTGCTACGATTCCGACAAGCATCACCACAAACGTCATCCTGGACGCTGGCATCGACATCACCATGGACGCTGGCATGGTCATAACCACAAAGGTTGGCATGGTAACCATCACAAAGGTTGGCATGGTAACCACCATAAACGTCGGCACGGTAACCACCAAGTTAGCAAGAAGATACACCACTACCACCTTCACGGTAACTACTGGAATCATGAGCACCGGCCTCACCACAAAGATTGGCAGTCCAACAAAGATTGGCATTTCAACAAAGATTGGAAGCCTCAAAAAGATTGGAATTCCCAAAAAGACTGGAATTCCAACAAAGATTATAAACCTCCAAAAGACTGGAAACCATAACAAGATTGGAATCCGCACAAAGGCTGGATTTCTAACTAAGACTAGAGTTCCAACAAACTTTGGCAACGTCATAGCGCCACAAGTGGCTGTTTTTGTGTGTTTAATAAAAAAAAAAAAAAAAGCACGAACTATAAGGAAGAGTAGAAATGGTAAACTTCCCAATGAAGCACAATCAAGAATAGATAAACCTTTAACCCCTCCCCCTCCCCAAATACAATCAAAAATGGGTAAAATTTCGAATAATACAATGAAGAAAGGGCAAACTTTCCAAAGGTACATTCACCCCCCCCCCACCCCCACCCCCACCCCCGTATTTAGCAGTAGTTTCAGTATGTTAGACCAAAGGAAATCGATGAGGAAGAGCGTAATATTATATCGGCTGCTTTTATTTGCCAGGACTTTTCTTGTAACCATCTGGGGTTGGGGAAACCTGACAGCCCAGGTAAATGCTAACTGTCTTCTACAGAGGTGGGTTAACTAGTTTCCGTCCCCATCAGTTTTCGCCCTCGTCCTCGTCCCTCCCCAAACCGTTAATAACCACTAGGAACTGAGGGCTAACGCTCTTGGCTGCCAACACCGAGGTCATGGGGTCGAGTCCTAAAAGAAGCTTTGCTATTTTAAGGCTACCCCATAAAGTGGTGAACACAGGCAGTATCGGCAGTGTGTTTTGGCACGGCCTCCAGATCTTCCTCTTAGAGTCCATGTCTTGCGGGCCATGTGGTGTTGGTAGTTATGTCTATCGACAACCTTCTGTCTCGGGTACTTTCAATCAACACTGATACAGATGATCAACCATGCCGTGATGTCAAACTGCCCAGCATCTGTTCTCTCGGTCTCCGTCTGTCTCCACCCCTCCAACTTTCCTACTGTCACGATGTTCCCCAGTTTTCTCCTTCTCATCACAAGACCAAATAATGTAGATTGTCTCTTTCTGATGAGGACAATCAGTTCTCTTCTCTAGATCTAGCAAAGAATTAATAATTACTTCAGAAACAGAGCCACCAGAAAACGAAGTAACTGGCTTTTACGCGCCGTGTCTTAAACTGTAAAGGAAGGGAAAAAGGTACTGTTGTCACTGACAGTACTGTTTGCGAATGGACCTCTTTTTGAAGGAATAAACTACATGGACCAAACCTGCCTTTGTTTCTGTTGCCTTTTGTTAAGTTCTAACACAGATTTAAACATTAGAAATGCCTATAACATGTTGTCTATGGGTTACTGAAAAGAATGAATTTACTGAAAAGAATGAAAACAATGTGATGTTGACTGACCATGTCTTTCTTTCTTCTAGCAGTTCCGTGCCTTAGAATAAATGTTTTTTTCTAGCCTTCAAATTTTAATCCGTCTTTCTTGGTCTGTGCAAGACCGGCTCCATCTGACGGACCATGCTGCTGACGTCACCAAACCGGTCTAACAATACGCTAACGCAGTGTTTCTCAAACGTTTTTTTTTTTTGTCGAGCAAAAAAAAAAAAAAAAAATAATAATTGCGGCACACCTACCATTAAAGCTGTTTAAATACTTAAGAAAAGAAGAATAAGAAAAATAAAAACGGTGCAAATTCAATGTCAAGCAGATTTAGAAAAACTATTGATTTTTGCCTAGGCATCTCTGAAATACGCTCGCGGCACCCCTGCGTGCCACAGCATTCAGTTTGAGAATCGCTGCGTTAACGTATCGTTAGCCCGGTATGGTGTCGTCAGCAGATTGGCCCGTCAGCTGCAACACGGCTCGGAATGTCTCTACTTCTCTTCCACTGTACCAGGCGGAGTAGTTTTGTTTTGGAACACCCGTTGATCTTGTTACATGAACACATTATTACACTCTGTTTCATTTAACAAAAGTCCAACATGTGTCCGGTATACCAATCGTAAGCTTCCCGCTAGGTCGCTTTAATTATGCTACAGCGATGACTTCTTATCTCACAGTACCTTCTGCAAAATCACCAATTCGTCTTGTCCCTATCCGAACAACATCCGGTAATTTCGTGCAGCAGGGAAAACCAACCATGAGCTTCATAAACTCAGGTGGGCCCACTCTCTGAAAATGTCTAGGAGCGCGTGGGCTGAAACATTTGTCGACGAGAGATTACTTCTACTGATGATTGTAGACCCCTGCTGTACATGCTCCCCTGTGGAGTTTATTCTTACTTATTTTTATTGTTACAAGCACGCCACATTGTACTTTTACGATATAGAGGTGTACAGTTTTCAACTGAAATGGGGTTGGGGGTGTGTGGGTGGGAATAAAAGGGGTGGCGTGTGGGAGTGGGGGGGGGGGGGGAGATTGCCGTGGTAAAGAGCTGGAGTTGTTTTCATCCTGCTTTGAAAGTTGTGAGTTCAAGATCGGATTCCGAGGTTTAGATAATGAGTGTTTCCAAGATCTTGATGCAAAAGTGAGGATTCTTGCTAACTGTGTGACAGACCGGCAGCTGACCAGTTCTTCTGTGGAAAGAGAACGAGCCAGATGGAATAACAGTCGCAGTAATAAAGTCTCGCCTTTGAACGATTTAGAACTTTATTCCAACTTAAAGTTCTTCAGATATATCAATTGTATACATTGCTTTAAATGATGTTTTCCAAATCGAAACTGCAACAACTTCAGCTATATATGAAATGGTTTGTGTCCAGCTTCAAATTCGAATAGAGACAAGGGCCTGAACCGCCCAGGTCCCAGCGCCTTTTCTAGAAGTGAGTGAGTGATGTTCAACGCAACCAGGACCGCAGACTGACTGACTGACTTTCTACCCCACCAGGTCATCACACAAGCGATAAACACCCAATGACACAACGTGCCACCATGAGGGTGAGGATCACCGTGGAGAGGTCCCAGAAACCGCGTTCAGCCCTTAGGCATATTTATGGCCAGGCTATATTGCGGCCCCTGGCAAGAGCCAGAGTAGGGCTTCAAGGAACGAAAAATTTCATCCTAAAAAAAGACGGGAAGTTAACTAAGGACCACAGAATGAGAAATAAACAACCGGTGACACAAAGTGCCACCATTTAGGTGAGTCGTTCGGGCGCAAGTCACAGCAACCCCGTTCAACCATTAGGTTATATTAGGCCCCCCGACGACGGCGAGGGGGGGGGGGGGAATAGGCGGAGGGCTACTAAATAAAATAAATGCATCCCGGTATTGGCACGGTGTTATCATGATATTGATGGTCCAAGAAAAAAGTCTTCTTGTCTTTCTTCAGTGACATATTGTTCTCAACAGAAATAAACAGGTGGTGACATCTTGGGGTGCTTATATACTTATTATGCCCAGTCATTTCCCTTGTGGGAGGCAATTTTACGTTATTTGAAGCCCCCACCCTGGCTTTTGTCGGGGGGCCCTGAATATAGCTGGGCCACAATTGTGACCATAACGGCTGAAAGGGGTTTCTTTGACCTCTCCACGGTGATCCTCATCCGCATGGTGGCACTTTGTGTCACCTGGTGTTTTGTCGCTCTTGTGATTTCCTGGTGGGGTACAACTCACATACATACAAACATCTTGGGGAATTAGAACAATCTGGTACTGACGTCCTACAATAACATATTGTTCTAAACATAAGTAGATTATCGAGGATATCTTGGGGCATTGGAACAATATGCTATTGATAGTACAAGAAAAGTGTTTCTTGTGTCCCTTCAGTGACATATTGTTCTCAACAGAAATAAATAGGTGGTGATATCTTGGAACATTAGAACGATCTGATACTGGCGTCCTACAGTAACATATTGATATAAACATAAGTAAATAAGCGAGCATATCTTGGGGAATTGGAACAATGTGCTATTGACAGTACAAGAAAAGTTATTCTTGGCTCCCTTCCATTTACATATTGTTCTCAACATAGATAAATAACCGCAGACCACTTGACGTCGTCGAACAGTCTGATATACATACACATTAACGTGTATCGGCTCTCTGTCTCCGCAACGAAATAATCTGACCGTTTGCCCCGGGCTCTGCAGGATTAAGTTGAAAATGCGAATTCCTTTCTTCGGTTGGCGAGTGTATGTATTTCAGTGTCTCTCATGGTCGTTGCAGCAGCTACAGCGCTTCTTGCCGCCTACAAACACGTTCACAGATATATAGGATAGAACAGGAAGTGATAAAGTCGATCATACCATCCGCCAACACACTTAAGGATTGACAAATGATCACCATATAGGATAAAACCAAAAGCAATAACCTGATCTCATCATCTGTCAAAACATTTGAGGACTGATAAGTGATCACATCAGAATAAAACCGGAAGCAATAAAGTCAATCCTATCGTCTTTCAACACACTTGAGAACTGACGAATGATGACCGTATAGGATAAAACCTCAACAAATGAAGTCAATCCTTTCGTCTTTCAACACACTTGAGAACTGACAAATGATGACCGAATAGGATAAAACTTCAACAAATGAAGTCAATCCTATCGTCTTTCAACACACTTGAGAACTGACGAATGATGACCGTATAGGATAAAACCTCAACAAATGAAGTCAATCCTTTCGTCTTTCAACACACTTGAGAACTGACAAATGATGACCGTATAGGATAAAACCTCAACAAATGAAGTCAATCCTTTCGTCTTTCAACACACTTGAGAACTGACGTATGATGACCGTATAGGATAAAACCTCAACAAATGAAGTCAATCCTTTCGTCTTTCAACACACTTGAGAACTGACGAATGATGACCGTATAGGATAAAACCTCAACAAATGAAGTCAATCCTTTCGTCTTTCAACACACTTGAGAACTGACGAATGATGACCGTATAGGATAAAACCTCAACAAATGAAGTCAATCCTTTCGTCTTTCAACATTTTTGAGGATTGAGGAGTAATCAGCAGCACTGTAATGGCAACATCGACAACATCTCACCCACTTTCACCAGCAACAACAACAGCAATATGTTCGGCCTTCTATGGCAGGACTTTTCAACTGATTTCCCCGCAGATCATTGCCAATAAAAAAAAGTAAAGATCCCTTTTCACGCATTTCGGCGCATCGGGCAT